AAGTGTCATATCAGCTAAATTCCTAGCATCTTTATCCTAGGGATAGAAGATTAGATGTATGATTTGCTAACTATAATTTTCCAAAATTTTCTAAATTATGGAATGGCCACAGCAGATTGAGAAGTTGACAAATGTAACACTGCTCTTCAAAAAAGGAGGAAGCGATGAAACAGGAAACTACAGGCTAGTTAGCTTGATAGTATTCCATTCCCTGATGACCAAAAGGAAAATCGTAATGCTCTCCATAAAATATTACATGATCAGACAAAGTAAAATATTTCGTTATTTATTTATCTGTTTGACAAATCTGTGAATGTGATTGCTATGGTTAAGGTGAAACAGTAAATGTCGTACCTTGAGATTTTCAAAAGTCATATGATAAGATGCCACACAAAAAGGTTACTAACCGAGAAAGGAGCTCGTATAACAACATAGATAACAAGGTGTAGAGCTGGATGAACACAGCAGGCCAAGCAGCATTAGAAGAGCAGGAAAGCTGGCGTTTCTGGTCTGGACCCTTCTTCAGAAATGTATTCTTCAGAATTCCTGCTCCTCTGATGCTGCTTGGCCTGCTGTGTTCATCCAGCTGTACAGCTTGTTATCTCAGATTCTCCAGCATCAGCAGTTTCTACTATCTCTGAATCATATAACAGCATGATTTGAGGATCAGTTATCAGATAGGAGCCAAAGAGTAGACATAAATGGACAGTTTCAAATTAGCAGGCTATGATGAATGAAGAGTGGTCAAGACAAGGGACCCTTTTCTTCTGCTTTGATGAGATGTTGGCAAGGCTCACAACTTAGCAGCTCTCTGATTTACAGGTTAAAAGCTATGGTTTACAGCAACTAATGAGATAGCAAAAATTGGATTTCTCCAGGTTTTAGATATTTTTTTCACTGCAAAGGAAAAAGTACCACCTCCCCTTGCAGAGGTCTGAAGCCTTCTGGCCATACTGTTCATACGTGCAAGCTATTCACTTACATGAGAGCCAATCACATAATTATTGGAGGCAGAAGGCCTTTGTCATCGACAACGGGTCACCATTCCACAGGCCAATCAACTGCTTGTTGCCGGCTGAATTTCCCTTTAAACACTCCCCTAGTTCCAGCACATCTGCAGTAACCTTACCCCTTGTTTGAGCAAGCAGTGGTACAAACAGCATATACTACATGTGTCGGTCTTGCTTTTAAGAAGTATAGCAATACTTCCCACAATCCTTGGTTTTAAAACAGTACTTCTCTCATCACTGTTCTCTATCAGAAGTACAGAAAAATAGAAAGCTATGGTACTTACAAATTGGAATGCAGGTCTACAGTCAACTTATTTGGAGGTCACGTGTAATAAAAATGCCAAGTGTATCCAACTACCATCAAATGAGTGCTTGGGACTTGTTTTATATGGTGATGTCAGAGTCCTGATTCTCCCCTGAAATAGCTACAAGTATGTGGGGTCTTGACATGTGCAAATGTCAGACTTGCACACAAAAACTACACATTTCTTAAGTAACAATTAAGTTTAGAGACAGGGTTTAATGAATTTGTAGGTATGCCTGTGGGGTATGCCATGGTGTACCTGACCTCAGTATTCATGTGACAGCATTCTGTTCAAAGTTTGAACCAATCCAGCTCAGAGTATGCTGTTGCGTAACATGCATGCTTTAGAATTGAAGAAGAATTATATTGAACCTCTGTAAGGTCACCCCTCAACCTCCTACGCTCCAGGGAAAAAAGTCCCAGCCTATTCAGCCTCTCCTTATAACTCAAATACTCCAGTCCAGGTAGCATCCTTGTAAATCTTTTCTGTATCCTTTCCAACTTAATAACATCCTTCCTATAGCAGAACAGTATGCAGTATTCCAAAAGTAGCTTCACTAATGACCTGTACAACCACAACATGATGCCTTAACTCCTATACTCAATGCTCTGACCAATGAAAGCAAGTATGCCAAATGCCTTCTTCACCACTGTGTCTGCCTGTGATGCTACTTTCAAGCAACTATGTACCTGAAACCCTAGGTCTCTCTGTTTGACAACACTCCCCTGGGCCCTACTATTAACTGTGTAAGTCCTGCCCTGGTTTACCTTACCAAAGTGCAACACCTTGCACTAATCTAAATTAAATTCCATCTGCCACACCTCAGCCCATTGGCCAAGCTGATTAAGATCCTGTTGTACTCTTAGACAACCTTCTTTATGGTGCATTTTACCACCAATTTCGGTGACATCCACAAACTTACTAACCATACTTTCTATATTCTCATCCAAATCATTTACATAAATGTCAAACTGGGAATGTTGTACTTAAATGCATGCAGTAGACGAAACTTGGGAAATAAGCTTGTAGTGCAGATTGAAATTGACCAGTACAATGTTATGGGCATCACAGAGACATGGCTGCAAGGGGATCTGGGTTGGGAACTAAATATCCAAAGATACATAATCTATTGAAAGGACAGGCAGATAAGCACAGGGGCTGGGGCCGCCTTGTTAGTAAGAAATAAAATTAAATCAATGACAAGAAGCAATACAGAGTCGGAAGGCACATAACCTATGAGAGTAGATTTGAGGAAACATTAAAAGAAGAAAAGACCCTGATGGGGGTTATGTACAAGCTTTCTAGCAGCAGTCAGGATGTGGGGAAGAAAAAAAGTCAATGTATAGAAAAGGCAATTAAGAAAGACACAAGTATAATAATCATTGGGGACTTCAATACGCACATTGGCTGGGAAAATCAGGTTGGTAGCACATCCCAAGAAAAGGAATGTGTAGAATATCTATGAGATAGTTTTTGGAGCAGTTTGTGATTGAGCTCACTAGGGTACAAACAATTCAGGATTTGGCAATGTGTAATGAAACAGACTTGATTAGGGAGCTTAAAGTAAAGGAATTCCCTAGGGGGCAGTGACAAGAATATGATAGACTTCACCCTGCGACTTTGAATATACAAGATGGATTGCATTCCATACTTCCACAGTACTGAAGTAGGGTCACTGGTGTTAACTTTGATTTCCCTCCACAGATGCAGCCAGACCTGTTGAATTTCTCCAGCAATTTCTGTTTTTGTTTCTGATTTCCAGCATCCGCAGTTCGATTGTGTTTTTTTTATTGTTTATTAACTCTCTGCCACCTCTCTCTCAAGTACACCCACCTTGAAGAAGTTCTGCTCCAATCCCGGGTAGGTTTTCCATTCCAACCTTTTTTCTTCTTCACCGTCATTAATTTCACTGTTGTTCCTCGTGGTTGAAAAGGTAATTGCCAAAACTCGTTTCCACAGCCACATCACATTTCTCAGTGACTGCGTCCAGTTCATGCACTCCACATGGATTTCTTTGTGTTTTAAATCCACCCAGGATCATAGGTAACTCTGTGATGTGCAACATTTTGAAATGTGTTGATTTGTTTTTCAGCAGCTGGTCCAAGCCCTACTCTGGGATTTGAGCTGAAAAATTTCAGCCGGTACTGCTGATAGAGTGCTGCACTATATCAGAGACCGAGACCACAGAAACACAAGTGTCTCATCAGGTAGAAGCAAAAAATCCTATCAAAAAGGAACAGACAAGTTATTCCCAGAATCTTGACAATTTTATCTCCAATTAACTCCAATAAACAGATTTGCTGACTGTCATCACTTTGCTACAATTTATGGGACCTTGCTGTGCAAAACTTAACTGTATTATTCCTGCATTACAACAATGACTATATGCTCCAGTTTTTTTTGGGAAGTGTGACATTCTATGCAGGAACTTGACAAGAAATATTTGGTTAATGCAACAGCATCTTTCCTTTGGTTTGATACATGATTTACCTTATCATTTATGTTTAATTTATATTAGCTCTGACTCTTGTTAGAATTTACAAAAATGTTATAATCTTTCTCTGATAATCTCATTTGGGGATGCGTTCATTAATTTTGGTTACTTTGGTTTACAGATGCCAAAAGGGACTGCAAAATTGGTGTACCAATCAATATTGAAAAGAATTAGCTAGTCATTGCTGCATTGTTATGTGAGGGAGGTTGATTGTTGTGTGCAAATGGGCTATCATGTTTTTTACAAGTGACTTCAATTAAAATGTACTTAATTAGTTGAGACAACAAGGTGCAGGGCTGGATGAACACAGCAGGCCAAGCAGCATCATACGAGCA